GCGCCCACGTTGGGACCCTCGAGGCTCGCGCGCAACGCGGACTCTCCGGACTGGCCGGCGCGATGGCCTCGGAAGTGGTGTGCGGGCTCATTTTCAGGCTGCTGCTGCCCCTCTGCCTGGCAGTCGGTAAGTCGAGTCGGCGCGGAGGGGACGGGAGGCGACAGTGGGGCGTGCGCGGGGGCTCCCGAGCTCGGTTCGGGTCGCTCTGGCGGCGGGACGCGATTCGAGGAGCCCGCATTGTCCCGGGTTCCACAGCTTGTGTGCTCGCTTTCCTCGGGGGCGCACTGTCCGGCTGGATAGACCGGGTCTCCGGGACGGCATGTGCTGGGGACTGTATGGGTTGAATTTGAAGTCACACGTGGATTTTCCTTCGTGCAGTACTGATTTGTGCACAAGGGATGCAAGTGTGGTTGGAAGGACCCTCCCCAGACATACAGTACAGAGTCGCACTGCCCGGTCCATGTCCCCGGACGAACAGTGCACTCAGATACACGGTGCCTTGCAGACGGCCCTGCGGTCCCCTCTCCTTCACCTGGTAGCCCAGCGCCTGCGACTCGAAGTGCTGGGAAAGAGAACCTTTGAACCTCGGATCTGTGTGCTCGAGGCTGAGGCTGTAGACCGGCCAAGACCGGGTCCCAACCCCGGGCGCTTACCCTCCGCGGAGATTTCGGGCTGTAGAGCAGGACAGGGACGCGATGGGGCGGCAGGCGGGAGCCCCTCCACGCCTCTGCCTGCATCTCACTAGTTCTGCCCCGGTGGGCGTTAAAGAAGCTCCGTCCCGGCCTGAGGATACAGGCGGTATTCTTGCAGTGAGAGCGTTCTGAGAAGGAAAGCGAATTCCTCCTAAGACCGACCCACAGCGCCTGGCTTTCCTGCTCCCAGCTAGAGCTCCGAAGGAGAACACTTTTTACCAAGTGGCAATTGTGTTTACAAAGAGAGGTGGCCTTCGCAGAAGATTGCCGGAAATTGACGACTCAAAATCATCCATGTACTAAATGTTTTCTTTGTGCAAGGGATGGAAAGGGGGCTCTAGAGGGTTCGATCCTGGCCAGGGCGCCTCGTTTGTAGCTGCTAATGAGTGAAGCGTCCGCAGGTGTCCGCACAATAAACCTGGGCGGAAACGCGGCGAAGGCTCTCCAAGAGAGACCAGCTGTGGCCAACGAGGTCCTCAAGCGCCGCGAGGGCCCGCGCGTGCTGCCTGTGGCTTCTCTTTGCAGTTTGAGTGTCCAGGCAGGACCACTTTGCAGCGATCCTTGTCCCTCTTGATCACATGTGTAGATCTGCACGAAGCATCCACACGCTTGGTGTGGCCCTCTCTCTCCTCCCAGTTTGCCCAAGTTTGCAGAGCAGAAGGGTTTGGGGACAGCGATTTGGGGAGAGCAGCTCTGGCTGCTCCGCGTGCATCACACACAGGTCACATAGTGGCCTCGATCAACGCTGCATCTTGATTGCTTGGCGCCGTGCCTGGCACACTTTATATTTGCCGAGTGGAAGCTAGAGCCTGAGTTAACTGGGGCCTTTTAGTGTGAGCGGGTGGAGGGGTGCTTTACAGTGAGGACGAGCAGTGCTCAAAGCCTCACTCTTCCTTCCCGACAGTCCCCTCCATTCCCTCCCCTCACCGCCTCCCAGCCCACTCTGGGGGCAGTGTGGTCACTTGCAGCCACCTCAGTCCACTCTGTTACTTGCACAACTAGCTGGATTAAGTGACCTTGTGCAAAGCTTTTGACTCAGGCCTCCACTAGCCCACCCCTGTGACGTTCCCCGGCTGCTGGGTGTAGGGCCCTGTTATTCCGACTGATTGCTGGGGAATCTTTGCCTCAAAGCCCCTTGGTGTCTGCGGAGCTCTGCCCAGCTCTGAAGACCAGGTCCCTTCTCTCTGCTGCTCCTGGGCTTCTTCCTCTGCACTCCGGGACCTAGTGCACACCGGCCTACAGCCTCGGGGCCGGGAGATGGGGAGACTCGAGGCCAGTGAGTGCCAGCTCCGCTTCCCTGGACTTGCTAGAAGGAGTGCTGGTTCCAGCCACCTTCCTGCCCCCTCGCTCCCAGGACATCCTGAATCCCCCCGCCCACCCAGTATTCTCAGTCCTCTTTCTGCTTCCAGTTCATTCCTTGCCCTCCCATACTCATCAGGGCGCAGGGAGGCTAACCTGGGTGGGTAGGTGGGGGTGAGGCCCCAGCTGGGCCTAGCCTGTCACTCCCCCCACCTTTGTCAGCCGACTGACCTAGGTGAGGGTGGAGGACTCCCCGCCCCCCGCCTCCACCCCCAACCCCCCAGCTAGAAGAGGCAAAGAGGCCATGGCTCCTGGGAATACCAGACAAGGGACCTCTGATACTGCTATGTTGGCTGCTGTATAGGAAAGACAGCCCAGGTCCTGGTTAACCACTCCCTCTAATCACTGAATTTGTAGGGGCAAGCGGGCTGGGTGGTTGTTGCCTAATTTGAGAACTTGGTTCTCTTCTACAGGAAGTGGATATTTTCAAGGTTATTGGAAAGCTTTCAGTTCTGCCTACTCCCAAGGTGCTACTAAATCAAATATTCAGGTTTCCCTAATATTCTGGGCATGGAAAGAGCGATGATCTGTTTGCTATTAGAATCGATTTTACATTTTAGCCATCTATTTTTATATCTGGGCAAGGCAGCCTTCAAAGCGAGCCTATGCAGAAGCTTATGTGTTTCTCCTTTAAACCCATTTGTTTTCTCTTAGCACAGTTCTCTGTCCCACCCATCTTTAGTGTATGATTTGAGTTGATTCCTGGGTCAGGAATGGATTTTTTTAATGCACATGCTCCTCACCCGCCCATACTCTTGCCTGTTTTTTTCTCATGTCTTGCCTACAAGAGTGGACTTTCAGGGGGATAGGGAGGTAGAGGCCCCTAGGGAGCACCAACAGTTTGCTCTTGACTCTAACCTGAAGGTTGGCTGTTCAAGCCCACCTGGCAGTACCTCAGAAGAAATCCATTAAGATTACAGCCAAGAAAACCCTACGGAGCAGTTCTACTCTGTAACACAGGGGGTCACAATGAGGCAAACTCAACTTCACAGCAACTAACAACCACAGTAGGGACGGATAGGGGAAGCCTGATTTGGTCAGGACATGTTGGGGCCAGGAGGGGCAGGGGCCGTAGTGGCTGGCTAGCTTACGCGCCCCCTAATGAAGTGACCAGAGCTTAGGGAAGAACAACAGAAAGGGCCATGTGTAGCACACCCAGAGAACTAATCCCCTAACCAATGATCTGAGAAAATGATACTTACACTTGGACGATATTGCAACTCCAGGAAGACTCTCTAGAATTCCCTTTACAGATGGATTAAAATCTGAGTAAAACACACGAACAGTGTTGAGTGTCTTCCCTACTGCTGCTCTGTTAGCTCTTAGCGGTAGGAAGATTCAGCAGTTGAAAGATTCCTTTAAAGCATTACAAGTGACCTTCTTTCCTGTCACACCTTCTCACCCTTATGTAGGTAGATGATATTTATCACTTACAGAAAGGAGAACAGTGAGAGTGAAAAAGATGGTGTTGTGACTTTGCACTTAAAGACACCTCCATTGCAATCCCTGACCGTGCCCTTTGCTGTGTGATGGTGGAGTTGTTTCTATTTGTTTCTTTCCTTTCCGTAAAATGGAGATACGAATACTTCCTTTCTTGGGTTGTTGTTAAACAGTCTGCGCCTAACACCTTGCAAAGGGCCTGGCACCCTGTAGGTGCTCAAAAAGGGAGATACTAGTATTACATTTATGAAGAACTGTAGAAGAGCAGGAAAGCTGGCTGAATGTTTTAGTAGACATGAGCAGATTAGCCATGTAAAGTGGACCTGAGGAGAATGCTAGGACTCTGGGGTTCATATCAAAGCAGTGGGTTTCATCAGTACCTTCTTAGAGCCAGATGATGCAGTTGAAAGTTGGTGTGTTTGGGTAGGGAGGGTGTTTCATGATCAGGATTGTTCTCATCAGTTTCTCCTGGTATTCTATACAGCTAGTCCCTAATTTATGACATATTTGAGTTACACTGAACTGCAGTTTTTTTGTACATCTTATCATTAGTAATATGTACTGCGTACAATGTTGCAGAACATAATTTGCTGATGTTATCATTCTCAGATGTTCATTTGTAGATGTTCAGTGTTATGATTTATAAAGATACTGATAATAAAAGGTAATGAAAAAACTAAAAAAAGAGATACATTTGACTTATGTTAGAACCAACTTACGATGAAGTCATGGGAATGGACGCTGGCGTAAGTTGGGGACTACCTGGATATCTGCGCCTACAGTCTTCTGATGAAATAATATGCTCTCCTTAGAACTATGCTGACAGTGCTTACTTATGTCGTCCTGACACTACACCGTGATTTTCATACAATATGATTTTATTTTGATTTTTTACATGGGCATTTAACTTTTGGGTTCTTATGGTACTAACAGTTAATTGAATATGAAGTTATATAGTAAGAATGTGCATAATATAATTTTTTATGTAAATATTCAGGACAAGTTACAACAATATAAGTATACGGATATTTAAGAATATTTGATTAAGAACAGTATGATGATCCAGTGTGTATAATATAAAACATTAGATTTCATGAGATTTGTAGATTTAAACCATTGTTTTCAGGACATGGAATCGGGTAAATGAAGCAAATCTCCCATTGAATTGCACTGTGTTGGAAAACATTTTTTAAATATTTGGCTGTCAGCATCTCCATTCGTCATATTCATATGACCTTCCACTTGACCTTTTAGACATATTTAGGACATGATAAGATTTTAAGAAGGCTGAGGAGCCTTGAAACCACATACTAAATATCTGTGGGGATAGCATCACATGATTTTTCTCTTTTACAGTTTCATAATTTTTTGACCTGTCAAATAATTATCTAATGGGCATAGAACATTTAACTAAATTATTTTTAAAACTTAAGAGAGACAACATGCAATTTTTCATTAAAAAACTATAAATAAATGTTACCAGTTTAAAAAATATTTTCATGACCTCTGCAGAATATACAGTATTTTTTGTTTGACTTGTTTCATCACGTAGATGATGAAGTTTCCTGATTAATATTTTGCCTGCTGTTTTTGAACTCAGTTTGTATTGGTGGTTATAATTCTGCATTAAACTAG